AGTCAGTTCATGAGGTGCTGCTGACGTTCTATTCATCCAGACATGCTAGACACCCATTCTTTCCAATTGATATCTCTTGAGTCAAGATTTGAAAAAATTCAAAAAGAAACCTTGCGTCGTGGAGGGATTTCAACAATGTAATTTCTACCTCTCCTCTGGTGTCTTTCGCCAGAGATCCTCCAACTTGCTTCCTTTTCTGGCTTTATCTTCTGCCCATTCGTAGAAAATCCACCTCATCCATTTCTTGAAATATGCTGAAACTTCTACACATTTCGCCTCAATGCATAAAAAATTATGAGAAAAAAGCCAGTACTAGGAACGTACCGAGATGGCTCTCTGAAAGGTGGCCCATGTTCGCCTTAGCAAAATTGTACATAAGTTTGGAAGATCTATCGGGAGGTTCTATGGCCACCTAACAAAAAGGGACGGTGCAAAAAACCAAATGTAAGATAGACAAATTTAAGTACTCACTTGATAGAAAGAGCAAACCAAAGCCTGGTCACATTTTCCGCAAAACCTAGGGTCGGTCCTTGGCTCTACAGAATGAAAGTGGCAAATAAAATGAACTAAAGTGAACGAAGAACAACAAACCTGGTAGCAAATCAAATTTGAGTCTCGATAAGTAAAAAGCAAGATTATTGCGTTGATTCATAATGCCTTTCAGCTCCAGAGCACGTGAACGCACTTCCCGCGTTACTCCATCTTTCAAGTATAATAATGAACCATTTCCGAGGGTTTGCTTGTATCGAGACGATAACATCAGGTTATATAGCATCACCTAGACAGATCACAATCTAGGGTAAGTTTACAAAGAAAGAATATTTTCCCACCTGTGCGGCATGCTCAGAAGAAGGGCCGCTCTTACCAGTTTTGAGCTCAAGTGGTCGTAATCTTGTTTTACCATCAGATTTCACCTATACAGATAGGTAGCAGTTCAAAGTGAATTATTAAGCGAACAACCAACAATTATACCTTCAAAGTCACGTCAACTTTACCCTTGATGCCTAGTTGCGGAACCCAAATGTTTTCTTCGATATCGTGAACCTAAAGTAGTAGTATACCAATGTACATTAAATAAATAGAACAGCGGAGGGAATCAACTCCATCAACAAAATTTTCATATTGAAGAAAGGTGCATATTTGTTGGAATAAGCAAGTAGAACACCTCATTATTGGTAATACACAAGAGCAATAACCTTTTGTATAAAGCAACTCGCATTGTTTGAATGGTAAGACGTGCCGCCTGGTATGTTTTCCTGGATCCAGTTCATAATTACCTAAAATAAAAATTTGAGCAATTTCCACCAGACAAAGGAGAAAGGTACTCACATCAGCATATGGCATCAGTTCAGTTTCAAACTGTGCAGGTGTAAAACGTAGAGCAGCAAGTTCATCAATAACTTCTTCATACAAACTA